TATTAATCGCTGAAAGTTCCAAAGCAATCAGTCACTCGGTGTAACTATGACAAACATTGAAACTTTTTATGAGGTGAGGTCACTTGAAGTGACCTGATGACCTGACCTTGAATGACCTCGGTCTGAAATTTTCACAAGATGTATAGAATTGATTTATGATAAGGTGTGCCAAAAACGGCGGCGAACGGCGGCGCTCCACGCCGCCGTTTTTTACATATTCGCGAAAACCCACAGGAGCCCACCCTGTGGTTTTTCGCGAATGTTATTGTGTTCGCGAACGAAGTGTTCAAGCATCCCCCAGCAAGGCGTGGGTTAATCTGGTCCAGTCCTTATATATCGAAGTCCATTTCCCCCCTGATGGAGGCCTTGAAGCTCGAAAGTCGAAAGAGTCACATAATCATTACCAGTATTACCTTGCAATGTCATATCATTACCTTTAACCCGCGCCCCGTTGGGCTCTGCCGAGCAACGCGCCCGGTTGGGGGGGGCCATTTTAGCCCCCCCCCCTAAGATCTCGAGAACCACGCAACATAGCGACAAGCGGTAAACGGCGTTGGATAGCCCCAACGGGGAACTACCTTGTGACCCAATTTTATTGACCTAGGTCAAACCGATGACGTCACAGGTCAGGTCAAAGGTCCAATTTTCACCGTTTACAGGCACTTCAAGAAATGCGTTGTAAAATCGAGTAAAATGCATTTCATTGAAAATCGTCGATGGGGAAATGTTCTTCAAACACATATTTTGCTATTTGAGGTCACTGATACCAGGTCAGGTCACAGAGGTCAGGTCACGGGGGGGGGGTCACAATATTAAAGTGTCGTGTGATACATGTTTTATGGTCCATTTTACATGACAAATGCGATTATATGGGTCAGGCAGCCTTTGGGGCCAGCTTAGATCACGTTTTGGTCAAAGTCAGGTCAAGGTCAGGTCAAGGTCAGGTCAAATTAGGTCAAATTTCAAAATTAATATTTTTGCATAAAATGGGTATCGAATCGATGCAGCTTGTCACGGGGAGTTCAATGATGGTCTTTGTTTTGCCGTACGTGGTCTAGAATTGCTAAAAATTGAGTTCAAAAATTTGACGTCATCATTTTTGAACAGTTTTTTCGCTATAACTTGGCCAAAAAACGAGATATCGATCTGAAATTTGGTATGTATATAGAAGAGCGCTGGGACTATCACATATATTCCGTTTTTTCGAAATTCGGAAATTTTTTAGATTTTTTCAAAGTTTTTCTAAAAAAATCAATTTTTTGAATTTTTTTTGGTCAAAAACCAAAAATTTTGAAAATCCGAGATAGCAGTTTTGTAGCGCCGCTTTTTGTCTACTAGACCATATAAAGAACTTTGAAATTGCTTGATAACTGTAGATTTGGTGAGCGTTTCAAGATTGCATGTTTTTTGCTCATTTTTGCTCGAACATGACCTCAGTTTGACCTCAATAACTCCTGACCTAAGGTGACCTAAGACTTGAAATTTGGTGTGAAGGTGTCAAATTGATGCCCGGGAAGGTACTGAAAATTTGGCGGCGCTGCGCGCCGCCGTTTTCTTGCTATTCACCAAAAACCACAGGGGGGGGGGCCAAAATGCCCCCCCCCCAACGGGGCGAGGGTTAAAGCATCTGTTTTCTATTTCCGGATCGTGGCCCCGGTCAAAATGATTTGTCGAGAAAGTTAATAACTGTGCGAAGTGCGAATCTACCCCAAATGTACGGGCAAAGTAGGTAAATGCTCATTATAAAAAGGACCGAGATTGCACGGAGCATTCACCGCGTCTTCGCTTGTAAATTGCCTTAACACTTTATTACCCGTGTATTCGGGGTATGTGTTGCCCCGTCTTATAAATGCAGCAGCACGTCGTGTGGCTAGTTGTTCTGACACGCCGCGAGTCAGTCGGTGCGCTTGTGAGGGCCGTGAAGCTTAGCGACCTGAAATCTAGTTTGGCTGATCCATTCCTTCAGGCTGTTCTTCGTTCACAAAACTAGCTTTTCAACTGGTCGGATTGAATGGATTTTGGTCAATGGGCTCTGGCATGAGCCTCGCCCTTCATCCTAGAATTGAGATTAATCAAAACATAATTCAAAAAAAGGACGAAGAAGACATAGGTGAGCTGAAAACCAAAAAATGAGCATTAAAAATGGTTCATTTAATTGAATACATGGGGCATTCATATTTCAACATATAAAGGTGTATCAAATGCATTTTAGAACTCGCTGCCATTGAGGCCATCAACCTCAAAAGTGGTGAGGTCAGTGACATTTAAAATGAACTTTCTTTTAGGTGACCTATAAATAGAGATGCGGTGTGAACCGGTGTGAACTATATGTAGGTGACCTATTTGGTCAGTGACCTGACCAGAGTGCCACTTCTACTTTGTAGGTAACCCTCAAACTTAAACTATAACTAATGTAAAAATCAAGTATTTCTTTATTGTCATGACCTTTCCTCCTTTTCAAAAATATGCTGAGCCAAAATTATATTGTTTTAGCGTTTTCAAATATATCGGCCACATGCCTTCATCAGTGAAATATCCAAAAGAACACTTTTGCATCTTTTTTCTGATTCTGATATAAGCACATTGCACATCGCAATCTGTAAATGTATCACTGTCTATCAATAACATTGAGCGTGTGGTACCTGGCAAATATCGTTCGAGATAGTGGACATTATCCATACAAAATACAAGAAACCTATATACTATCGAGCGGATTTTGAAACGGCTCTGAAATTGTTTCCAATCGTAAACTTAAACATATCATAGTATAAATGCAGATAAGAACTTTTTCAGCATAGAATACGTTTCAATGTCTAAGTTCCCTGCCTCGGCTCTATCTCCCTCTTTATCTCTCTCTCTCTCTCTCTCTCCCTCTCTCTCTCTCTCTCTCTCTCTTCTCTCTCTCTCTCTCTTTCTCTCTCTCTCTCTCTCTCTCTCTCTCTCTCTCTCTCTCTCTCTCTCTCTCTCTCTCTCTCTCTCTCTCTCTCTCTCTCTCTCTCTCTCTCTCTCTCTCTCTCTCTCTCTCTCTCTCTCTCTTTCTCTCACCCCCTCCATAACTCTCACTTTCTCTCACTACCTCGCTTTTCTCCTCTCTCTGGATATCATACAAATGCTCCCACATGCACTCACACCACCAGACATATATACCCCCCCCCCCCCGGCGCCATACCCCCACACCCACATCCACACATCCCTACCGTACATGCACCTTCCCTCACACACCTATCAATAGTCCAATACGTAGGCTCATAAGATTGGCCAGGAAGTGCTGTTGCTATTCAGCTGCGGACGTCTCTTCTTGATAAACACTGATTCGGCTATTTTACGGTCGGGGTGATCCTTGGCTCTATACAAGACTTGGATGTTTAGGGGAATGCTAGAATTTTGAGAGTGTGACGTATGGTGCTCTAAAAAATGGTCGCCCATGGGGGTTTCTGGCGTACGGTTGGCTGCGTCCCTGATATGCTCGTTGAACCTAAGTCGTAAGGGGCGTTTAGTAAGTCGTAAGGGGCGCCGATATATTTGAAAACGCTAAAACAATATAATTTTGGCTCAGCATATTTTTGAAAAGGAGGAAAGGTCATGACAATAAAGAAATACTTGATTTTTACATTAATAATGATCCTCCAACAAGCACTAAAACAGATTAAACTATAACTACTATAATTTTTAGTCAGAAATATATGCCTAGCTTAAGTTGGAAAATAAAATAGGTAAATATAAGGAGGCTTGAAATGATCTCACGCATGTCAAAGTATTTTTATTTTAGGCAAAATAAATATCTAAAACAGTAAAACAAGCTTTTCAAGCCTCATTTCAAGCCTCCTTATATTAAAGGGACCCTCCCACCTTCAAAAAAGTTAATGAATTGGCATGAAAGTGATGTCCCTTGGTTCAGAAAGAGCGAAAACGAATATCTACCAAATTTCACCGAAAAATATTCACTGGTTTTCAAGATATTAGGCTTTTACTTTTGTTTACTTTTTGGGATCTCCCCTGTTACTAGCGACTTTATTTGGAAGCAATAATTTGGCAGCCCTAAAGTGCGGCAGACGTTGCGCGCAAAGCAGCGTATACCACCACGTGTTAACGATGGTTTTAGTCTAAGATTTAAAAATCGTTAGATCTCCGCTGACGTCACAAATTCTAAGTGGGCATTCCAATGCATTAGCCCCTTAGAATCCGAAAACTGCAAGTTTGGAATTCCATATCTTCGAATTAAAGCATTTTTCGATGTTGTGAGTGTCCAATCCGGTATTTGCAGGTCATGGCCACCAATTTGGCTATCTCAACTCAAAACTAATGTTAAGGTGGGAGGGTCCCTTTAATCATAGGATCATGTCATCCATCCTCGCCCACATAAAATAAAATAGGCACATTATTCACTAACAGTAGGCACACTAAAATTTGGATATGTGCCCCGTGTCCAGCGCAACTAAAGGCATGGGTTAGTCTCAGCTTATATTATGATAAGCAAATTATTACATTTCTGACTTGAGAAAAGAAAAGAAAACATCCGTAGTAAATTAAATGAAGACATTCACTTTTTATGCTTGTGAATAAGCACCTAATAATAGTGAATGATAGTGAACAAGCACACTAATTTTCTATAAGCATGCTTCATTACTTAACTTATCGTGTCGTGACACAATTGAAAAAGGACAAGTGTATTTCAAAATCTGACTCATGAACATTCGCAAGGACTGAACAACATCATTTCGATATTTCACAAATTTGGCGAATTCTTTTGACACAATATGTTTGTAGGAACACAAAACGTATGCCTGGAGGTCAGCCCGAGATCAGCAAAGCACGCCCAGCCGTCTGTCAAGCAGACGACGCCGACCGACGTCGGGTATGAACGGGTTCTGTGTCGGCGGCCGGTCATGCACGCTGGTTGAGTGTCGGCCAGCCAACGAGGTGAGGCGACAGGGGCACCCGCAGCGTGACGGGGACACGGGTCCGGCGGGCCCCACGGCTAAAATTGTCCGACAGAGCCCCGGCCGGCGCGGCGGCCCGGCGCGGCGGCGCGGCGGGCGGCCGGGCGGGTGCGGCGCCGGCGACGCCTCAGTGCCAGGTGAGGTGTCGCGCCGACAGGGGCCGTCTGAGGAGAGCAGTGTGCCCGAGCCGTGACATTGACCTCTTGGTGGTGATCGACACGGGACTGGGTCACCCAGAGATTACCGGCACGAGGTAAGGATGCGCTGTAGCCTGTATTTGACAGGGTGTAAGAGTTCAGGGCTGTCCTCGCTAAGCGATGAATTCGGTAGAGGGAAGTTGCTATAGCCTATAGGATCTGTGTGATGTCGGCTGTTTGACGTGCTTGTGGTGGGTTTGTTTGAGTCTTGTGTGTAGAATGTTCCGGATGCAGGGTTTATTTGAAATTGTAGGAGGTCTACCGGTGCCGCACGCACATCTTCTGTAAACACTGCTCCAATGAACACAATTGAGCATCTCGTTGTGAGCACGATTAGCGAGAAGTGATTGTTGGCTTAGCTTTACAGTCAAACATTCATGAGGCTTAACTGACCAACTTTAATACTTAAGAACAACTTTAATCATTGGCGAGAAAGCCGAGCGTTTGAAAGCAATAGGTACCCCATGGACAGCTGAGGTTCCATATGATTCAGCGAGGAAGGTGAATCCAAGGCTTGGGCCCGCCCTTCCTGTCGCCACAAGTTCCGCCATTTGGAGCAATTGGGCCTTGGGGCATGTGCACCGTATAGTATGCAGTAAGCACTCCAGCCTTAGCAATCACGCTGTGTTCGGAGCCTTGAGTGCAGCACTACCCACGGTGGCTCGCTGAGCTATAAACAGGCAAACACGGGTCGGGGAGCGGCAGGGACCGCAGTCTCTGGCGCCACGCCCGACACACGTGGCCGGGACTCCTCCTGAGTCACACCCATGGTGAGCTCGCACTTCTCACTTCCATAATAACGATGGCCAGGGAATAAGTGGGATGAATTTTAGCTGAGCGCACGAGACGCATGCGTCTCGTGCGTCTTGTGGTATATGCATATACCACAAGCTGGCGTAGTACCTAATGAAGACATGCAATAAAATTATAATTCACCCACGGTGATAAGTTACGAGTATATTAAGAACTGCTTTGCTTTGTCTGCCCACAACTTCCCCCTTAGCCAGTTTCCCATGGCTGCAGCGCTGGAACGCTGGTTTACCCGGCGATTCCAGAGCGTACCTCAAGGACGGGCACTGGGACATTGAAGGTGGAGCTGGTGGGGAGGTGGGGAGGTGGGGATGGATGGGCTCTCAGCGGGGGCACACCAGATGCAGTGCAGCACGTGGTGTGCCAGCTGCAGGCCAGGTGACGAGCCGCCCTTTTATTTCTGCAATAGAGGTGCACGAAGCCCAACGGATGGTCCAACCATACGGGATCTATGAATCACTACCGATCACAACACGAGGCGACGCTTTTAAAACGGTATCATGATACACTGCTGACTGCATTCATATGCTAATGCATCATGTTAAAAAAAAACTTCATCGTGTCCCCGACGCATCAAATGCGTCTGAGTTTTCACCTCTGGTGCCAAGACAAGATGATCTGAATTTGAAAAACCTACAGTCTCAGTCTGACCAGCTGACGCCTGCTGGCACTCAACCCGGCAGTTGCTGGGGTATTTCGCCACCCACCGTTTGCTGGGGGGGGGGGGGGGCGTTAAACGCCCCCAGCCGATAACTCGAGAACCAAAAGGCGCAGCGAAACGCACGAGGCGGCAAACGAAAGAGCGCGACGAGACGCTTCAGATGAGTACTTTAAAGTTGAATTTTGAGGTCACAGGTCGGGTCAAGGTCAGGTCAAACACCTGAAATCGGGCTTTCAGTAGCATGGACTTCAGGACTTCACAATGGGCGCCTCTCGCCATAAACTCTGTCAAAACGGTGCACAATCCATCTTATAAGGCCTACAAGAGTGTCAGCTCCATATAAGGGTCAGTCAAGCATAGGTCAGGGTCAAGGTCAGGTCAACCGGGTAGGCACATATGCCCGAAAATCAAAACTGATATTCGCAGCCTGTGACACATGTTTTATAGGTAATTTGGGGCGTAGAACACGATGGTGACATTCATTTTATCATATGTGTACGTGTTTGACTCAAAAAGTTCAATTTAAGAAATTCATGTATCATGGTCGTGAGGTAGTCACGAAAAATTGCCAAGATTCAGTTCCAGATTTTGGAAAATGCGGAACGATAATCAATAATCGAAGATAGCCATTTGATTGATCATGGTATTGGCAGTCTAATGGCGTTTACGGCATGTCTGTATGTCTATTCTGTGATTTTATATGATTTTTGAACATATGCCGTTTTTGGTCGAAAACTCAGAAATCATGACGTCACTAAAACCTCGATATCTCAAAAATTTTCCGACCGATTTTTTTGAAACTTTGTCACAATAAACTTGAGTCAATTCCCTACAGGTACCCAAAATTTGGCGCGCCTGCGGCGCGCCGTTTTTATGCTATGGCCCAGCGAAAAAAGTGGGGGCGTTTAACGCCCCCCCCCCCCCAGCAACTCGCGGGTTAAGTGACACATCTGATAAGCTGGTAGGGTCGCGCAAAGCCCGTTCTGCCCTTGGCCCTGATACTGACCCGGCAAGTCTTATGTCCGCCCAAGATAACTAGAATAGATGTCCGCCTTCGGGAGAAGTTATCCGGTAAAATGTCGCGCGCCATCTGAACAGAACCTGCTTGAATGCGGTTTCCCTTGGCGGCGTCGCCTGTCTTTAGTTTTCAAATGCAGACGTACATTTTCCTCCTTCCGTTTTCCTCTCGGTTTCCTCACTCGCCATTTCATTGTCAGTGGTTCTTACAGGCGATTGGGGCATAAATGCATGCATCATTGCTCATAGTAAATATGCCTGTGCCTACTGCCGTGAGTCGTCTGCCTAAACCTTACAAGTTCGCGAACTAAGGCCGAGTGATACCGGCAGGGTCACGACTCACGATCGTGAACAGCGCTCTCGTGTTTTCATACAAGACAGCTCCAAACAGCGACAACATGTAGGCCAAATGTGGTTTACGCTTTAAAAATGCGGTCCAACAGGACTAATATGGTAATGACATTCACAGAATAGTGACAATTCTTAGAAGGAATAGAGGAGCTAGATCATTTCTTTGAAACTAACCAGCGACAGAGTAAAAAACGGGACGATGCATTTAAAAAAGAGATCATGTAGAACCACGTCCAGAATATCCTTTAACCCGCGCCCCGCTGGGCTATTCAGCCATACGCGCCCTGCTGGGGGGGGGGGGGGGGGCAGATTCTGCCCCCCTGTCTAACTTCCGAACCGATGGTCGTAGAAAGACGGGGAAAACGGCAATCGAAAGCTCTCAACAAGGCGGATCTTAAGAACCCAATTTTTTTTGCTTAAGTAGGTCAGAGGTCAGGTCAAGGTCAGGTCAAGGGTACAAAATACAAGTTTCTACAGTATCGGCCTTGCACCGTAGTTGCCGAAGAACAGACTGAGACTGATTGCCCAAAACGTGTTTTTAGACTACCAAGACAATATTCGTTGCACACAATGTCATTCAAAGGTCAAGGTCAAGGTCAGGTCAGGTCAGGTCAGGTCACCAAAAACAAAATATAGAAAAGGGCATGTGCGACACATGTTTTATGGGTCATTTTACTCATGGAATTCAATAGGCACACTCAATAAGTGGTATGGACCACCTCTGGATGAATTTCAGGTCGAGGTCAGGTCAAGGTCAGGTCAAGTGAGGTCAAATTTTGAAGTTGGTTGTTAAGGCCTAAAAAGGTGTCTATTCGATGCAGTTTTTCACGGCGAATCGAATGGTGCTATTTTTGTTTCCGTACGAGGTCTAGAACTTCCAAAAAATCATTTTTTCAAAATTTTTGTGTGTCGTGACGTCATAAAATTTTGGATAACTCCCACATTTTTGAACCGATTCTTCTAAAAATTGGTATGTAGGTGCACATAGACCACTTCTTTGACATATATTCCGGTTTTTTTCGATAAACTCAAAATTTTGGATTTTATAAATATTTTCCCAAAAAAGTCAGTTTTTTGGAAAAATTTTGGCCAAAATCCAAAATTTTCAAAAAACCCAGATAGCCATTTGATAGACAAAGTAGAATCACGTATAACCTTTTGTGTTACGTCTTGATTCCTTTAAAAATGAAGATGTTAGCGGCGTTTGAAATTTTGCCGTTTTTGAGGCGAAAATGGCGAACATGACGTCACTAAAACGTCAATTTCTCAAAAATTTTCCGACGGATTTCGCTTAAATTTTCAGGGAACGTGTCAAATTGATGTATGATAAGGTACTGAAAGTTTGACGTCGCTGGCGTAACGCGTTTAGAAGTTATTGGCGAAAAACGGGAGGGGGGGGCAGATTCTGCCCCCCCCCCCAGCGGGGCGCGGGTTAAGGTACTGAAATCGTGTGGGCTTCGACGCGGACCTGTGAGTCATATATCCCTGTATCAGTCGATAGCAAGACATTGCACCCGATAGCCAATCAAGGCGTTCCTACGCCGGACCATTTCCGAGCGCTGCCTCTCCTGATAGCGGCGAGCCTCCCTAATGCGGATAATCCGGAGATTCCCCGGTATTTACTGACACGATACTATAGCTCTTGGCAGGATTATCTTATAGGTATATTATATGCTATAACTTTGACCTTTCCTTGTTTCGTGGCTTTGGTCTTTGGGCAAACTATTCACAAAAGAGCATATGTTGAAAGCGTGGATTGATACCTTTTATTGAGACATTGGTGACAACGGATTACAGAATAATGCAGTTTTCCGGCAAAGAATAAGCCGTAACATCTTCTGCCAGAAATGGTTACTTTTGTCACTTTTTGGGCGATAAAACAAATATACCATAGGTACATGTGCCAAAGTCAGTGGCCGAACGAGTTCGAACGGTAGGATTGACGTAGGAACCAATGGGCGATAGGTATGCACCAGCAGGCATACACGACAGGTACCGACGCCCTATTTCACGGTCTATCCGATCTGCGCGGTTCCGCCAGGTCCGGGACACAGTCCATACTCAATCGTTTCTCGTGACACGATAAATCAGTCAATGCTGCGACTTGCGAGGTTTGGCGCTTATCGGGCCCGTTGTGACGCATCTCTCAGGCTTCATAGCTCTCGTATATCAGCGCATTTTTCTCGGCCGTCGATAGGGCATTGCCGGATGTTATTGTGTTAGTGTGACTCAGATCGCACACATGACACATGTTCAACAGCTGACAGCGTAGCCGTTCTTGTGTGTGAAAATTAATCATTTCTGTTTATGCCAGGACCTCTCGCCCCGCCTCGAACCAGTGCACGAATATCTCGTGTTTTCAAAACACCGGACCAGAACCTACCTAGTACCTACATCCAACATCCAGTCACGTCGTGCGCCATTCAGCAGTCCAATGAGCTGTAAACCGTCCGATAGCGGCCGTGCCATACACCAGAGGTGCGGCGATAGGCACGGCACGACCCAGGGCCGAGCGTGCGCCGCTCCCTCCTCCGTGCTGTGGCATCACCGACGTCACATGATGTGGCAGCCATGACGTCACCTGAGGAGACCCTGGGTCGCGCCTCGAGTGTGGGCCGACCTGTCATTCGGCTATTGTTTGAAGGAGGCGCTGAGCATATTTGAATTCTTCAGGAGAGACGCATCAAGGATTCTAGTGGTGGAAAGCATGCACGACGCGAGAGCCACAAGGACAAAACACAGCCTCACTCGTCACAATGGATGACAATCTGCTTCCGAATGGTACGACGAAAAAAACGAATTCCGTGAGAACCAGAACAGCTCACAAGCTTAACGCCCTCTGCAGGGGTCTGAAGGATACCTACTATTTTTACAGCAAGAATTGCGAAAAATTTGCGCAGTGGAGCAGAACGATGTGTCTGCGGCTTGCGAAGATCGACGCATTAAGGATGAAATTATTCTACAATCAAAGCTGCATGAATATCTCCGTGTTCATTTCGTGTAAAAAGCAAGCACATAATTTTAACTACAAGAAGTTTATAGCGACTTCGAACGGGCTTTGTAAACGCACATTTGGTGAGATAATTAAGGGATTTTCAAAATCATTTTTAGTGCAATCGTCTCGATATTGGAACTCGTTCCACCACAATGAAGATTAATCAAGAGTACTTTCATTGAAAATGGCTGGGACCCCTTTCAAGCAATGCCAGCAATAACACATTTCACTGATTGCCACTAATTAATGACTGTAATGTGCCGCAGCCTCATTGATGAGTTGAAGGTCGGTCACTATTCCAAGGTACCCACACCTCTCCACGTCCACAGTGAAGATTTTACCGGTCCTGGGCCGCCGTACTGAGTAGGCTGCCTCCAGCGCTGCACACATGCACATTACACACACATACCTACATACCACCCAAAGTTGGCTTTGGCACCGAGCGCGTATGCGCAGTCAAGAGGACACAGCTAACACACTGCCTCCGATTGCAGACTGGGCGATGGCCAACAATACCCTGCTCACCACACCGGCGATGATCGGGCTTAATTTGACAGACGTTCGCGCCTTCATCTGCCGTCAGCATTTCAATCCACCAGAAGGAAAATTTGTTGTTCTGAGCGAACGAAAGGAAAACAGTGGCACCTGATGCGGGTTGTTTTTAGGCAGCTGTCTCGATGAAGGAGACCAGAGGTCACGTCCCAAGCCGCCCAATTCGCAGTCACAGACTGTTTATCAATTGGCAGGGCGGCAGACGGCCCACTGCAGGTTCCGTTAGGAATATCGGTATAAATAATCACCCATTCACGGGGGCCAAGCTATAATATAAGCACAACGAGCTTTACAAATACTGTGCCACGATCTGGGTGAATAGCGAGCGGCAGTAGATGAGGGAACAATACTATACCTACAATTACACTATTTGTTGACCTTTTACCTGTAGACTTTTAAGATTTTTGACTTCTTGCTTTTGACGTAATGTCTGTTGACTAATCATCCTTTTACCTTTTATCATTTGACTTTTTGTCCGGAACCCATGTCCCCATGTCTTCCCGACCGTTCGGTCGCTTATTTCAGCAAGACACAGACCGGACTCCCGTCTCCTACCATTGCTGCCGATGTGCTTTCCCTACCGAGTGTCGATTCCGGCACGCGCCAGACAGCGTGGGCGTCCATTCTGCTGATAGCGTGATAACCGGAGCTGAGACGGGCCACCCCGGTCGGACCGGCCCCCGGCGCGGGGCCTCCCCTGGCACCGACAGCTGACACCAGCTGGCCAGAGGTCTGGCGGAGAGGGGGGGGGGGACAGCTGCTCTCCGCCACCCCGCGCTGCACTCTGCCAAACCACGCTGACCTCTACCGCCTCCAATCGACCCCCGCTGCCGTCTTCACCGACTCATGTCTCCTCCTGCTGCCGTCTTGAGTCTTGACCGACTCTAATCGCCTTTTTTTACCGGCTCATTTACCTCGTTTTGCACCAACGCCACTGCACTGGCCCGGCAGGTCCAATCGTACCTCCGACAGCTTCTAGCAGATACCATTCCCCTATCGCTGTTTGCACTCCTCTCTAATCTACTTTCCACGCCACAACCTCATTGATTATGTCGATGCATGACACGCCCACCACCTTGGAGACTTCACAGATTTTAGCGCCTGTAACCCATCACCACAGGCCACAGCCAACACCCATGCCGCCCTGTGCCGTGGGCCGTCGCCAGACATGACATCACCTCAACCCTGAGTCAGCCACTGCCGTGCAACCGACTCGACTCAGACGCCGAGTCATCGACTCCGTTTGCGCAGGGCTGCCGCCCCGTCAGCGTTGCACAGCGCGCCCCTTGTAAAAGGGTGTGGGGCTTAGCCGCCTGTGCACTATCATGGTGTTGTCTGATATCGGCTGATACTGAGAGAAGACAATCGGGCCCGGTGCAGCAGTGTTTTAAAATAGGATTTTGGTTGGGTGTGCCGATGAAGAAAAAATCCTAGGATGAGAAAAAAGGAAATAAACAACCGAAGTATATTTGCAAAATGGTGTAATGCCAATTTGTATGCCAACTGATAAACCAGGATTTCATGTCAGAATCTTGACAGGGCCTGTGAAACAAAAGGATGTGGGTGCAACAACTGTCAAGTGACATGTAAACTGGCTGTTGGAAATACATGAAACTTTTTCAGAGATGAAGTAAAGTCGGTCATTCATATTTTAGGGATGAAAGTATTTTCCCCATTAGGTGTGATTTGCCGCCAAAAAGTCTGAAAAATGGAACACTGCGGTGCAGAGACCTAGCTAAAGAGGATTTGAAAAATCCGACGTGATGATACAAGCAGCAATCACATACGGCGCAGATAAAACACATCATAGGTAGGTACTGCCATCCAGCCGTTCGACAAAATGACATTCGACAATATTTAACCCTCAATACGATATGACTTTGTTCATATCCGTCCGCACTTGCATGCATTTTGTCATTCTTAATTCAGCCGTTTCATCACCCCTCAAGTTCAGTAAATCTGTTCACATCACGACTGATAGCAAAGCAAACATCGTATACCGTCAGCTGACTGATGACGTCAGAACGGGGCCCGTGTAGTGTAAGGGTCAAAACGAGCACGCCCATGTTATGATGTTTGCAATGCAATGGGTCGTCAGAGATTGCTGCCCGCCTCTGAGAAGCACGTTGGTTCAGCAATGTCAGCTACTGTGTCCATGACTTGCTTCACGATCACCACAGACTGTGCATGCAAGTTGTGCTGGCAGGCAAACGGAAGGCTTTTATCGCAAAATTGTCAATGACAAGTGACATCTGGCAAGGATTGATGATGATGATGATGAATTGGGGTTTTTGGGCCCCCGGACATGGTCATCGGCGCCCATATCTGGCAAGGACTAAAGGATCGACAAGGACCTATTGCAAATGTCATTGAATAAAGAGGGATAGTGCTGCTGTGAAAACATCAGCAACGGTTCTTCGATGAACTCTATGCTCACTCCATAACAAAAGACAAAAGCATTGTGAAGTCTCGATCGATGGAATAGCAACATCCCATCCTCCTCATTATCTGACATCTGTGAGTGTGAAGCACTTCCAGCACTGTCAAACACGAAGTGATAGGAAATATGGCATCGGGTTGCATTTGCTTTTTTCGAGAGAATTCACCCATATTTAACAGTTCTCTGCACCCCTTTGATGTTCATAGTATCCAACTACTCATGACTACGACTGATTCTTTGCCCATGACTCGTGAATCTATAAGAAACCTTGAGTTAATACGTTGGATCGTAGTAAAACACCTAATGGGTGGGTACCAAGAGTGATGACGCGGCTCGCATGTCACACCGATATTGCTGAAGTTGATTGCATGTCATTTCAGCACAACACTGCATATTCACCAAAGACTCAAAAGAGGCCGACCAAACACATCCGGTTTACAGCCGTCCCAGTCTCACTTCAACCTTACCGCCTTTGTAAAAACATGACCAGTTTTCTGGACCTCACCGCAACAGATTTAAAATCCTAAACAAAATCCTAAACGATTGCGATACAGTATATGTTGAATGTTGAAGTCCGGTGGTGATGACATGTGACAACTGAGGCTGCGCGTCATATCACTACTGTCTGATGTCTCGAAGCTCCCCTTACCGCTCCCCCTTCCCCTAAGAACCCAGAAGGACCTGTCAGTTGTCACGCTCCATCACGTCACGGCTGACACGGCGCTTCCTGTGTCCGCAGGTGACGATGGGTCGCCGTCGGGCGGGCGGCGGCGGCGACTCTCTGCCGCAGACCGTCCGCAGAAACAACGCCAAGAACGAGCGCAAGACGATGGAGGCGATGGCCGACACGCTCTGGGCCTCGGTGGAGTCGGGCAAGGAGCGCAGGCTCCGGCTGGCCGCGGAGAGGATGGGCAGGATGCTCGCGGGGCAGGAGACGACCCTGGCTCCACAGGAGCAGCAGGAGCCGGCCCCGACACAGTCTGACGCAGCCAGCCCAGTAGTTTCAGAGCAGCGGAGTGAAGCTGAAGAAGTGACTCAGCAGGAAAAGGAGGATGACAATGTTACGGAACAGGAAAAAGCGGCGGGGGCCTCAGAGCCTTCAGAAGTAGATTCTGATATGGTGCCAGTTCATGTAGTACCAGAGGCTGTTCCACAAACACCAACTGAACAAGCTGCCAATGAAGTGACTGAACAGAGGGCATCCGAAGTTGCGGAATCGGTCTCTGCAATGCCTGGCGCTGTAACTTTTCAGGATGAGGCAAACGATGCAGCAACGCCACATGACGCATATAAAGTGCAGCAGGAGGTACAGGAGGTTCTGCAAACTGCAGAAAAGGCCACTGAAGTCGAGGAAATACAAGAAGCCGCGCTTCCGGACGGCGTGGCGCTCGCCGAGGCAGCTGTCCCAACCGAGCAGGCCGAGGTTCCCGACCAAGCTGACGACGTGTGTATGTCCACATGGGAGGTGGTCGACGCTCCAAACCTAGATCGAGAAACAGTTGAATCCATACCACTGGAGCCTGACGAAGCTGTGGAAATTCCCCAAAATCAAGAAGCAAATATACCAAGTGCTCAAGTTGACACAGTTTCACCTTCGGATCAAGACATTTTGAAAAATGAGCCAAGCAAGACAAAGTCGGCGGAACTGGCTACTATGAGCCAGGAGCAACACCAAGAAAGCTCTATCGACGAAAATGTAGATAATCCTCAAGACGCAAGGAACCCTCTGATGATGGAAGGGTCGAGCGATGGTTTAGCTTCAACCGAATGTGCACCTGATGCTGCTACTGAAGAGGTATGCGAAGCTGTTCCCGTCAGTGAGGAGATTTCCGAGGAACCAGTAGCTGACATTGCTGAGAGTTGTGTCTCTGAAAAGGAGAAGGAAGCTGACCTACCATCCACCTCGCAGAGTGACATGCTGGCCGGGACAGTTACCTCACCGGAGTCACCGAAGGCGGAACAACCAGCTGATGAACTTGGAGATGGAGTAACCGATGCAAAGAAGGACAAGAAGAAAAAGAAGAAGGGGAAACACGCAGTTGAAGCATCGTTACAAACAACAGTTCAAGAACCGGAGGACAAGCCCAGCACAGCCGGTGAGCACGAACCGAGTGCTAAGAGCGGCAAGAAACATAAGCGGCATAGGGACAAGCGAAAGAAGTCCCAAAGCGAAACTGAAAAAGAGATTACCGTGCAGGAAAATGTGAACAAGGTAGACGCTTGTTCTGATGTAACAGCCCAACCGGTCACAGATCCTTCAAATTATTCAGAAGTCACAAAGACTGATGAAGACGGCAAGAATGACGAAGTGACAGAACCCACTATCCAGGAACCTGTCGAGGATCAGTGGACAACGGTGGAAACGAAGAAAACGAAAAGAAGAAGGAAGAAGAGTGAGAGGAAAAGTGAGTCAGAGGACAAGGAACAAGCTGTTAATAAACAAGGAAGTGAACTGGCAAAAGAAGTAGAAGCCGAATCGAATACTGTCATTGAAGACTCTCACGTTCATGAAGCAACAGAGACAACGGATGGCATATCCCAATTTGAAGTAAACAAAAAACCACAAGAAACTGCGAAGGATTCATTGAACGAATTTGAACGCCTGCTTTCATCTGTGGGGGCTCTCAAAGAGAAGTTCAGGCAGGCTTCAGAGGCTGAAACAGAAAAGCCAGCAATCAGCGCGGACAAGTCAATACAAGATGAACAAGAAACAACCACAGGATTTTCGTCAGTGGGACAGCCTGAAATAGCACATTTGTCGCAAGCAAAGGAGCTGTCTGAGGATCCCAGCAACGATAGACAATGCTCTCCGGCAAACGAATCGACAGTAACAGCTACACAAGCTACAGCAGATGAAATTAAACAAGTAGAATGTTCTCATCTGGCCGAGAAGCTCAAAGAAAGTGTTGCCGAGTCGCCAGACGTCTTTGATCTGATGCGCTCAACTGATGAAGGTCTAGAAGCTGGCTTCAATGAAGCCTTTGGTTCGGAAGACCAGGCCCGAGAAGAGCTTGAAGAAGTCAGGCCCGACGAGCAAGAACAGACTATCCGGCCTGCAGAAACCAGCCAGACTCCCGTTTTGGAGAAGCCGAGTGACGCGGCAGACCTAAGTACCAAAGACGTACCAGATGCGTTTGATTTGTTGGTGTCTACTGGTGAGGACTTGGAATCAGGCTTTAAAGATGCTTTTGGCGATGAAGATCTGAAAGAAAGTGATGCGAAAAGCAGTGACACTGAAAACAAGACGAAAGAAGACACAAGCGCAGAAAACACCATCACCAGAACGGCCAAAGTGGGCGGGCTTGAAAAAGGACATGAGCTTGAGCAGGAAGCAAAAACCGTGAGCTCGATCGAGCTTCGAGAAACTATCGAGCTCATCGATGCTTCCACCACGAAAGGCGATGTTAAACAAGATGCATTCGACCTTCTGCTCTCGACGGATGATGACCTCGAAGAGGGTTTCAAAGATTCATTTGCTTCGGAAGATGTTTCAAGTGAACAACAGCAACAGGCAAATGGGCTCAGCCAAACACCAGTAGCATTACCGGAAAGCAAAGCAGATGCGCAAGAACCAGAAGACGCCCTTCAAAGCATAAAACAGGAGACGCGCGATGCACCTGATGCTTTTGATGTACTTATGTCAGCGGGTGATGATCTTCAGGCTGGATTCATGGACGCATTCGGCGAGGAAGATGCATTCGAAGGCAGTCTAGACAAAGAAACAATGGAACAAGTCGAGACGCCTGTGGAATCTCCTCCAGCAAATAGTTCGGTAAAGGTGGACGTGTGTGGTTCGTCGCTGGAGGCAGAGGAAGAGTCAAAAATGGAAGATGATGTGGTCTTGAAAGCCAAAAGTACCAGCGAGACACCCGTTTTGGAGAAGCCGAGTGACGCGGCAAACCTAAGTACCAAAGACGCACCAGATGTGTTTGATTTGTTGGTGTCTACTGGTGAGGACTTGGAATCAGGCTTTAAAGATTCTTTCGGCGATGAAGATCTGAAAGAAAGTGATGCGAAAAGCAGTGACACTGAAAACAAGACGAAAGAAGACACAAGCGCAGAAAACACCATCACCAGAACAGCCAAAAAAGGCGCGAACAGCCTGGAGACAGAGGAAGAGTCAAAGACGGAAGATGATGTCTTGAAAGCCCAAGGTACAGCTGACGCCTTTGACATTCTATTGTCTACAAATGGTGATCTCCAAGAAGGATTCAGAAAGTCCTTCAGTTTAGATGAAGAGACTACTACGGAAATGCAAATAACGGAAACGGCAAGTACAACAGATATTGTAATTCCAGATCCAGCGAAATCTGACAAAGAACACCCGAACGACGATAATATCGCAGCCATCTCAAAGGATAACACCGAAAGTCAGTGGACTGAAGCTGCCAAAATTCATGCAGGAAACCTACCAGAGGCAGCAATGGAAACAGTAGCACCAATGGAATCAAGCTCAGCTGGACAAGTTTCCAGTATCCCATCAACAGTGACTGAATGGTTCGACAAGACCAGTCATGACGCAGCTGAAGCAAAATATCACGAACAGATGGCATCAAAGCACGCAGGCAGTGATGACCAAGAAGATGGCATGGTGCAGGAAGAAATGAGGGTACAAAGTGATCAAAAATCTATGGAAACGATGGAAACAGTACCACCGGTGGAATCAAGTTCTGCTGGAGAAGTTCCCAGTATTCCATCAACAGTAACTGAATGGTTCGACAAGACTAGTCATGACGCAGCTGAGGCAAAATATTACGAACAGATGGCATCAAAGCACGCAGGCAGTGATGGCCAAGAAGATGGCATGGCGACGGAAGAAGTGAGGGCAGAAAGTGAGCACAAGCCGATGGAAACGCCCTCCGAGCCAAAGGAGCCAAGCGCAGACGTGGTGGTCGCTCCAGGATTATCTCATCAGTCAGTCGCACCCACTGAGAGCACTTGGTACGATAAGATGCTTCATGACAGTGCCGAAACAGATTATTACGAAAGGCTATCAAGATGTAAAATAACGAACCAAGGAGACTTGGGAGAACGGGTTCCATCAACTAATGAAGTAACTGCATCGACAACCTTGCCTGTAACTATCGACGATGACAGTTCAGCCACTGAAACAAAAACTGAAGCCATGACGAGCTCAAATAAAGGTGAAGATTCAGCTGGTGAATTGCTTCCAAAACAGAACGTTCAATTTGACGAAAATACCTGGTATGACAAAGTTATGCACGATGAAGCTGAAGCTAATCACTTTGCACGACTGGCACAAACTCAGCAGGCAGAATCGAACGCTCATGATGCGCAAGCGTCATCTGCGAAAAAGGCGACCACTGAAGCTGCTCAACCTGTTCTCTCTAGTGAGCAGACCTGGTTTGACAAGCCGTTCCACGACTCCGCCGAAACCGTCCACCATGCACGGCAATCAAGCAATGAAAGCGATAGCAGCAACAAGAGTTACCCTCTGTACGAGGGTAAATGTGACCACTTCAATCCAGACGACCACCAGGCACCCGAAGAGAGCGCTGAACCCAGTGGTGAAGCAGAGGCTTGCAACAGATGGACGGAGAGTAAACTCTACCAAGGCGCTGACGCGCCGAGCATCTCCACCGAGCCGGTTCCAGAGCCGACTCCCATCACGGCTCAGATCACGGTGAACACGGAGGGCTCGACGGTCAGTGGCGAGCAGCCGCTCTCGCCGACCTCGGACGGCAGCCGGTCGCGGCGCAGCACGTTCAACTCGGCCGTGTCGCCGCTGTCGCCGCAGACTGAGCTGGACGACTACTTCGAGGACGTGGTGCTGGCCGGTCGGCAGAGTGACGTGACCATGGCTGCGCTGCGCGGCTTCACTGCCTCTCCGCTCAGCGAAGGCCTTGCGCCCGGAGAGCAGCTCGACAGCCTGCGCACCGAGCCCGACTTGGAGCTCAGCGAGCCGGGAACCGCCGACACGCTGGACGACGGACCCTTCTCCTACCAGGACATCGGAGACGAGGGCACAGTGACACCAGTGGGGGACGATCTAGGGTCCACGCCTGTACAGACGATGATGCAAGATGTAAGACTTTCATCAGAGCAGCTTCAAACCGAGGCGGAGGAAGCAGGTCAGTCAACTACACCTCAGCACCTTGTTGGAGAAAAGAAGGAGACGATCTCACTGCCGGTTGACGCGAAGGACGGCGTGACATCACCTTTGCTGGATAAAGGTAAAGGCAACGCTGGGATGGAGACGGTTAGCATACCAAACACCACGCCCATCGACATTCCGTCTGTACCTGTTGAAGTGACGGCTACAGAAGACGCCAGCGACAATATTGCAAAGGACATTTCAGTTTCAGCTAAAGACACGGACAAAGTATCCACACAAGTCGCAGAAGTCATCCCTGAGTCGCTCACAACCGAGGATTCAGCTACCTCTGCAGAACTGACATCGCCAATCATGGCATCAACTCCAGCAAAAAGCGATACCCATAGCCAATCCGTTGTGCAGACAAGCAATAGCGAGCTTCCACCCAACATTGCTGTGACCACACCAGGAACCCCACTACTAGCCAGTAAAGAGAATGATTCAAATTCCAACGAATCAAATGAGTCTGCTAACATGAAAGAGCGTGAGTCACCATCAAAGGAGCTTAACGAAAAACTGGGCCTCAATGAAGACGGCACAGTTCCTGTCAAGGAGCTGGATGAAGAGGTAATTCAGTTTACCGAACAGGGAGTACCAAAATCACCGGTAGCCACCAAACGGTGCAGCAGGAAAAAGAAGATGCGATCAGGAGGTCGCAAAAGCAGCTCAGAGTCCATTGAAACTCAGCAGTCCTCGTGTGACCGGCAGACACCTCCCGCACATGAGGAGCCGATCAGGCCTGCCGTGGAAACGCTCGACAAAGACACCCCAACAAAGGAGGGAAGCAGTTTCCCACAGCCTGTGGCGGTAGCGCCAACCGAGACGCAAATCATTCCATGCGTACCCGAGCAAGAAACTGCTGACATCGCAAACACCACGGAAGCCGAGTCAACATACACAGAGGAAGCAAAAACAGAACCATCTTCAACAACACAGGCACACGATGAACCAGTGCAGGATAATTTACACAAACCGTTAGAGGAGAACGCCGTAGATGCTTCCCCGAAAGACTCCGGCGTTCCATCCCAGGCACATCCCTCTTACAGCGAAACAACCACTCCGCCTACCATACAACCCTCGTGTACAGATCAAATAACTACAGAATTGACGGAGACTGTTTTCAGTCCCCATGAGACTGGGCCAACTACAGCTGACAAAGACGTTTCGAGTAAATCAGATACTCCCACTATTGTTGAAGATCTACAACCCAAACTGGCTGAAAAAGGAAATGTCGAAAAGCCAGATACATCCACAGATACTAGCCAACCAGATACGGCAGAAACCGAGTCGAAAATAACAATCGAAATTGAGTCTCCAGACAACCTGACTGAAACACAGCGCGAGCTGGTCGAGACGCAGCAGCCAGCCCAAAGAAAAACGGAGGTTGACACGACCCTAAATGATGTCCCGATTAAACTCACAGAAGAACCAAGCGTCGTATATTCACTAGGTGCACAATTAGCAGGCGCACCCGTATTCAGCGTCGCCCCCTCATGGACACAAGAGCTGCAACAAATGCAGACCGAAATGCAAACCGCGTCAGACAGTCCTGTGCAAGCCGCGCCTGCCAGTCCTATACAAGCCGCGCCTGCCAGTTCTGTACAAGCCGCGCCTGCCAGTCCTGAACAAGCCGCGCCTGCCAGTCCCGTACAAGCCGCGCCTGCCAGTCCTGTACAAGTCGCGCCTGCCAGTCCTGTACAAGTCGCGCCTGCCAGTCCTGTACAAGCTGCGCCTGCCAGTCCTGAACATGCCGCGCCTGCAAGCCCTGTGAAGGAGAAGTCCAAGCTGGAAGACATAGCAGAAGCTGTGGTTAATGTTCCTGAGCCTGAGTCCAAACCAGCAACAGCAAAGACTGATCCCAAAACCAAGCTTATCACCAGCTCTCTTCCGAACGAAGCAAAGGCAGAAGACCAAAAGCCTGCTGGCAAAACACCTAGCAACTCCCGGCCCATCCTGCCAGACCGGACACTTTTCCTGCCGGAGGACGAAGGGCGCACGTACGCCTCTCTGATGCAGCAGGGCGCTGACATGCTGCCAGCACGTCCTGTCTTTACCGCACACGCATGCCACGTGTGTAAGAGACTGCACACCAAGCAGCACCGTCTGAAGTCGTGCGGCAGCTGCCGGCTGGTGGCGTACTGCTCAGCAGAGCACCAGCGAGCACACTGGCCGATGCATCGCGCCCTCTGCAAGGTCATCACACGTCGAGTGCGATATCTGGGCACCGACCACATCTATCGAGAGGCGCTCAACGTCCCCAGCCCGGAACAGTGGAAGAAGATCCGCTTCAAGCACATGGCCGTGTGTGAAGAGATGCTTGGTCGTCCGATGGAGGCGTACGAGAAGGAGATGTTCCTGTACCCGCGAGCCTGCGATACGTGCCACGAGACCAACCCGGAGAAGCTACACACGTGCGCCAACTGCCACTCGGTCAGCTTCTGTTCCGAGGACCACCTGCGCAAGAACCACTCCAAGTACTGCAAGGACCTGCGCACGCTGCTGGACATCCACAGCTACCAGAACTCGCACGGCGTGTGCGAGCCGCCGCTGCCGGACACGGTGCTCTCAGAGTACGAGATGCTGCCGCCGCATATCAGGGAGCTGCTGGTGGTCAGTCTGCTGGGACCGCAGCGCGCCATGGCGCTCGGACCCGTGCCGCTGACCGTGCTCACCGACTACGCCTCGTACCCGCTGACGCTGCTGTTCGCGCTACAGAACATCCCCGTCGCCGAGGAGGTGCACATCAGCCAGCGGACCGAGCTGACCGTGCACGTGGTGGGCGCCGAGCACGCCACCGACTGCCACCCGCTGGGGCGCTGGGGTAGCTTCCTGCTGCACCTGCTGCCGCGCCTGCGCCGTCTGCACGTGGTCTTCATCGGCCTCGAGCTGGAGGCAGCTGGTGGCCGGCCGGGCGTCACGCAGCACGACTTCACATCTGCCGCGTGCCGCGCCGCCGGCCGGCGACTGACGTGCGAGCTGCAGCCGAGCACCGCCTACCACACGTACTGCCGCAGCCCGCAGTTCCGGCCGCCGGACGTCATCGCCGCCTTCAACGCCGGCCTGCACCGGTTCGCCGGCCACGAGCGGCGCGACACGTGGCGCGAGACGATCCCGTACCTGGTGCGGGATGGCGTCCCGCTCGTGCTCAGCGGCTACACGCTGCTCGAGTGTCCGCAGGACGTGGCGCGCATCGAGCAGGAGCAGAAGGTGGACGTTCTGCTGCCCCCCAGGAAGAATCCCTACCGCAGCACCCGGCCGCAGCAGAACTTCCTGAACGAGCACGAGGCGCCCGTGGTGTTCAAGAACCAGTACGTGGCGTGCCTGACGGCCGCCGCCAAGCCCCGGAAGTAGAGGGGCGTGGGTGCTGGAGACGACGCCAGGAGCCCGACGATTCAGATAAACAGAGGGTGTTGTGAGTGGTACCCGTTATCGCGCCGCTCATCGGCCGACGCCGAGCGCCGAGCGGGTGGTGGAAATAGACATCCGGTGGTGCGCGAAAGTGCGGTGGAAATAGACGCTCGGTGGTGCGCGGAGTGCGGTGAGGAGATGAAGGCGATGTGCATGGAGATGAGCGAGTGTCACGGTGAGCAAACGGACAGGGTACAGCGCGGATGAGGCTGGTGTCAGGAACAGACGGCCAGTCTGAGGAGACAGAGCACCTGGCTTCCTAACATAGACGAACGATGCTGATTATTAAGTGATACGAAAGGAACAGATGGGAGAGAACGAACGCTGTGTAATGTCTTCCCTGTTCTGCCAACCCGCCACGGACAATGCCGTCCGAGCTTATTGCTGGGAGCACACTAGTCGAGTGATTTTTGCCGAACATATCGAACTCTCAAGTGAGATCAGCGCTGAATTGTGGATGGCAAATTGGCGTGGAGGCATTGATGAAACGCGTCGTAAAGTGCCTTGATCGACTACGGCAGCCACGGCTGCGTGTTCTGTAACATTTCGAGCACAAAGATGTCTGCTGTGAACATGCGCTACAGGGTCCGCCCGGGCGCGCAATACATCCGGGGTTATCTATGCTGTGAAGGGTCACCCTGTGGGCCTGCCTAACCAAATACACTACCCGATTGATAGCAGCCTTGTCGACTTATCCAATCGTGGCAGATAGCAGTGCAAGACATCAGTACCTTACACCATAATTTTTATCAATTCTTCAGTACAGACATTATCAACTGCGGCAAAATGAATGACAATGACAGATGACATGAAGACGTTTAGAAGAGAATCTTTAGGGCGCTCATTGATAGCTAGTTATTGCGCATATCGAATACAAGGGGAGAATCATATCTCGAGGTAACAATAGATTATTAGGTATCACGTCTTATGGTTATATCCACTTTGTAAGACTTCATATAAAAATTTCGAACGCCCTGCTACTGATAAGTATATGGGATCGCTGCGGGCTCGATGATGGCGCCCGGAACTGGCGGTGGTCGCGGCGACCACGCCGGCCGGCACAATTGGCAGCTGGGCCAGCTATCGGCCTGGCTGCCGGCCAGAAGCGACACGTCACGGTGCGAGTTATTTCGACCTTTCGCCCGGTGCCAGACTCTCTCACGCGGTCAGGCGGATCGGGGTAGGTGTGGGCGGCTATGAACTAAATGGTCAGTGCCAGGGACACTTCCGCTCCCCCGCAGGGTAAAGGGATAAAGGCGTAACGAGTCTCACACATAAGGGGCACTAAACGAACACTTCCGCTCCAACCCAACGTGAAAAGTTTATGAGTCTCACGCGAATGATGTAACTAGCATCATACGGGTCATAAGAGGGACAGCTCGACTGTCGTCAGCAAAGCTTAGGGTATCTTCAGGGAGAGTAAGGACGATAGCATACGACGGCCAGCGAGGGACGGAAATGTCAACAGACACACGTAGCATGCATGATAGAGCGATACACACTGTAACATGAGAATCGTGAACTGATGGAGCCTTTCACCTGGGTGTGAATGGTGTTAGAATGGCACGATGCTATGATAGCATAGCGGCACTGAATATGTCACCATAACTGGCTAGAATATAGTAAGCTTCATGGATTTCAATTTCATTTGCTAACTTTGCTGACTAGAAAAGTCTGAATGCACACCCATCATCACCAAATCCTATTTTTACCCATGTTTTATACCCACGGCGGTACAATGACGTAATACATTTTCATATGTTAAACGAGACATGAGCTGGGACACTGACAACAACGCATACGCTGTCATTTGCATCTTAATTTTCAGTTACGAGTATATAGCTTTTGACAAGGTGGGAAAATCATTCACACCTTATGGGTTATTATTACCACTCCTTAAATTTATCCTTACACAATAAAAATGCTTGTTTCTGCAGTATATATTAAAACACACGTCGGTTCAGTACAAATGCTATTGTCGGTTCACAGCTACGAACACACGCAGGTAAACGTGATCTTGCTTCCGCTACTCCGTATAATAACAGGTGTTGTTACGCACACAATGGAATCTAGATGCACACAGCGGCGAGCAATGCATGATAACCATGCCTTACTCAAGCCATCCTTAAGCTAAAACTCCACGCCCTCAATACTGAACACCATCATATGTACACAGATACGGTCAAAATGCACCACTCCATCAGCAAACCTCTTAGAATTTCTGGTTCAGAAAATTACTGTAGAAAGGCCGTGAAACAAGACACAAGCTCTCGTAATGTGACACAACTGATGCAGAGCAATCAATCCCTAAACTGACATCAAAGTAGGTAGCTGTACATTTATCCTTTATCTAGACTTTCCTCTGAGGCCACGCTTAGAAAGAGCAGGTATTCAGCGTTGAGCTCAAGGAATCACAAGTGCAGGGTCAAGTACAACCTTCCGGCCACTATTTCACAAACGGTGAGTGCTCACATTGGATACACAGCTGCGGTTATACAATTTCAACTTAAATCACGCAAAAACCTTGCTATTACCTTGGCGTAAACAAAGGAGATCATGCGTAAATGAACTTTCTACGCAATCAGAATAGACTACAACATAAGCACAAATCGTTGCTAACGTATAGTTACTGCAATCATAGTATGTCAGGGGCCTCACTTCTTTACTGAAGCTGATCAATTTCCATATGATTCGAATTTCGAAGTATGTGTGGGCACAACAGCTCGAAGATGCAAGCATTCTGTGAAACGTGCGAGCGAACGCTTGCATCTTAACGTTCCGCGCCTTTTTGTATAAAAGAAAGCACAATTTAGCAACGACCCGTACAAATAAGTACTCCTCACAGACTCACAATCAAAGGACCAGACCGGAATTATAGATATCAGTATCGCAATCAGCACACTTGGCCATCGTAGCATTATGCATTGAAAACAAAGAGCATATGAAGGCTGGCAGTTGGGAATCAATCTACATGGTGACAAGTATCTCAAACAAAGGACCAAAAACAATCACGATGAACACTTAGGACAATATCTCTTAGCGAAAGAGAACCCAACACTGAATCCTTACAAAATACCCAGCACAGGACTCGCGCTACCCACCACTGCGCACAAACACTTGTATGCCACCGTGTACCCTGATGCCTTAACTAGCCTGTACAGAGCCCTTATGTACAAAGCTGTAGAAATGGCAAGATAAAGCTTCTGCCTCGCAAATATCTGCGGTTATTACGGCTTTGAATGGAACCAGCGAAATGGTTTAGCATGGCTTCAGCGACCACAGAGCAGAGTTACAGACAATCGTAACGCTTCGGTGTTCAACTTGAACCATGCATGCAATGCCTTCACTCGCAACTGGCCACTTTTCACCGCTCGCTCAACCGAAACCCAGCAGCTAGACCGTCGCTCCCAGAACCCAGAACACGCCAAATCGCGCCTTGGCTCTTACTGACCTGGCCCGGCACAGAGATCATATGTAAGGTTATGAGCCCGGTTTCCATGGACACCTGTGATCCAGATCAGCAAAAGTGGATTAGCTAATCGATTATAGCTAGCCAGTATATGAAAATTTGAATAAGGGATTAACTGATTGCAATAGCTTAATCCACTCTGAATTATAACTTGTAACGAAGAGTTCGAGAAATATTATACGATTTAAATTTGCTGATCCGGATCACGAGTGCCCATGGAAACGTGGTCATGGTTATGTAAGATCTCCGATTCTCCAGGGATCCCCACCCACGGAACTACCCACCCCTCTACACAGCGTCTACCCGTGATCTGTTCAGAGCTCGCGACCTCCAGCCCTCCGCTGCCTCAAACTGTCGCCCCACCGGCACTCGACCCTCATTAAACATCTACATCTGAAAGTGTAATCATCCTACTGCGCGAACCTGGCCGAGCAGGCGCGATTCTTACTAGATTGGGCCGTTTTAAATGAACTTTCCGAATCAATCTTTTCCCCGAATCACAATACGATCGGTTACGTCAAATGGTAACTGAGTTTCTGGTAATGCCCCTTTACCAAAGCCCACGATCTCATCTTCTAATGAATCGCAATCCCTTGAACCCTTCAGACAACGTTATCCCCCCCCCCCTCCCAAATACCTGCAGTCACACAGCACATTCTTTCTGCCGCGAATCACCACTCGACCTATAAGTCAAACTTTCCGAGATTTTTGAACGAGTATGCATCTTGCCAGGTGTAACCAGGGACACAGAAGATGACCATTGACATGCTACGGTTTTATCCATGCCCCTGAAGCTTCCAGTAACCAGCAGACTCCGTTGCACTGTCTCCAAGTTCTAATATCGCTAAGGTGGTCCCGTTCCTTTCCTTCAGCTCCCTATCAGCTGCTTAACTGTGCAATGTAGCCTTCCGATAATCTATCAAAGGAATGATTTGTAGATTGCATGTACCGGATGGATGCTATCCAATTTGAGACCCATATCTAATTCATCGATTCATCGATCAAATATGTGGAAGTCAGCCCTCAGCAGATAAATCCGCTTACGTTTTCAGTCCAACGATCGTGTCGCGCACCAGCTTGCAGTTCCGGTCGAGCGTGGCGTCATCTATATTGAAACGGAGACCGCCGCTGCTGCCCTCAGTGGTCGTCACTGTCACTTAGCGCCAGATCATCCAGGTTGAAGCCCAGAGCTGAAAAAGACGAGTCAGTCAGTACAAGCAGCATAAACGCTTCAGGCGATGCGTGAGCGAGCGAGCGCAAAAATAGGCCCTGCAGTGGACCTGCAAATATCAAGTACGTCGTACCTGAGACCTGTGACTGACTCGTGTGGATCATTCCTGGTCCCGGTACCGCCTGATCCACGCACACACTGGTCCCGATACAAACACCCAGGCCCTGCTGTGATAAAGACCTGCTACGCTCTGGTCCCGGTGCCACCTGATACACGCACACACTGGTCCCGGTACACCCTGGTCTTTGTTCACCCTGATCTCGGTACCACCAGTACCGTTACACCCAGGCCGGTCCCGTTGGTACACCCTGGTCTTTGTTACACCCCGATATCGGTACCCCTGGTCCCTGTTAAGCCCAGGCTGGTCCCGCAGGTACTCCCCGGTCCCACTACTCACGCTCTGTCAGCCGGCCGTTCTCAGTGGGTGTGACGTCCTCGGGCTCAGCCGGGAAGTGGTCGTCCACGCAGGCCAGCGGCGAGGTACCCAGGTCGGTGGATTCCTTATCTCTGGCCACGGCCGCCTGTAGGTCAAAACATCAGTCAGTAGGCGGCATACGGGGTTATACATACGGACGCTGGTCAGTATCTGTGCAAAGGCAATGTGTCACAAGAGTCTATAAATCAAGCTAATGATAACTCAGGCATTGCATAGCAGCCTTGCTTTACCGAACTTTGTGAAACATGGCATGACTTATCAGCAGTGACGTAATAATTAATAATCTAATTTAGTTCAACTTTCTGTCTATGAAAGCCAATCATATTTCTAATTTCATCGTCTGTGACCTCAGCTCTTCCAGATCGGTCGGGAGTCCGTACCTTGAGCTGGTTGATCCGGTGCTCCTGCAGCACGTTCACCTGCTCCTCCAGCACCCTCAGCCGCCTCGTGATCAGCTCCGTGTCCTCGACAGTCAGCACGCGGCTCGACAGCCTGTCGACATCGGCCGACCGGTCAGTGGTCATCACTGCCCGGCCCTCGAGGAACGCGAGCCAATGGGTGCGGCAGTTATACGGCGGGGAGCGTGGGCAGCGTTGAGATAGTTTCTTTCAGTTGGGGCAATCCAATTATTCTCCGCTTTTTCACTTCTACATTGCAGACATAATTTTGTTGAGACGTTATGAAAACAAAACGTGACCTCAGTTTCAATTTCAATGTCGAATATGCGAACTCAATTTGAAATTATTGCCCATCTGCCAAACACTGACCACGTTTCAGACATAGCAAACCAGTTTCCGGTGTCAATAGTTTGTCGTGGTCGGGCGGGGAGTTCGTTTCGTCGGTGAGTCAGCGGCCGAAGGGAAGACAGGGTCGAAGTTCACGTTTGTTTTTGAAAACCAGCTACGATAACAATTCACAAAGCAAAATCCCGGTTTCGTACGTCCCTGTCCTCCATGTGGGCTAGTGGTCCTCCATTTCTGAGCTCGGTGATTTGCAAAGACAGAATTCATGTCCTTAGTTCAGTCATCGTCCGTTATAAATTAGGAGAACGCGAGGTCAGTGTCCCCCCATACAGGAGTTTATTTACATTTGCGGACACTTGCTCTACGTAACAGCAGTCCCCCTGGGATATGTCATCCTGCATCTATCACTGTTTCAGGACAGGTTTGTAGAACATCGCTCGTATGTAGTGCTCATGTACCGTGCACTTTACCGAAGTTTGGTAGATACATATTTGAAAAGAGAGCATCTGCGAGGGATCAAACGCAACATCTGAAACTGACCCTGCGCTACATAGCGCTCCATATAACAGCAAAGCGTCTTTGAATGAATGACATCGAGGTGTCAATTTATCTGGCGGAATTGCGTGCGTAGTGTCATCCTGCGTTGAGGACGCTGACACCAATCCAGGCCACACCACCGCACTGTACTTTAGCAGCGACTATCTGCCGCCCTCTCCTGGCTAAGGCCATCATCTGAGCGCGGTCCAGCCTTGAGCCGACCGGCCAGCCTTGGTGTCTATCACCCCACTTACCGTTTGGGCGGCGGGTCGTCCGGCGCGGGCGCCGGCGAGCGGTCACCGGCCGAGCGCAGCGAGCCGCCCGCCGCCAGCTTCTTCACGTCACGGCGGATCCTGGCCAGCTCGGCTGACGGGGGAGCATGACCGACAGGTCAGGAATGGTGGTGCGATGCACCATGCGCAGCAATATATCAGTACATATCAGATGATAAAAAACACCGTAAAATGTGAAAATTTACTGTTAAATGCCACTTGTAGAAAATATGTAACGTGAAAATAGATTAGTGTACGACTACGTGGGTAATGAACTGTTCTACAGCAACGTCCAATTAAGTTTTTACAAAATCAACGAAAAACCATACGGTACGGACAAACGCTTATGCATGCATGGAAATGCAATGCTGCAAAGTTTTTTTTTCGTAAAAACAAGCCCTATACACAATAGCACTACCAAGCCCAGCCATCCGTACACCAGCAAATCACAATTTGACATCTCACGTTCCCAATAACCTCTTAGCACACTGGTCAAAACACCATTTTATACTTTTTACCTCCGCCCTCTCTCCACAAAGAAGCGCTCACCTTTGATGAACTCCTCCTCCAGCTCGCGGCGCCGCTGTACCACAGTCAGGCGGCGCAGCTCAACGGCCTGCTTCTGAACGGTGGCGTTCAGCTCAGCCAGCGAGGGAACCGCGCCGGCAGGAGCCCCGGCTGAGCTCGAGGAACTGACGGGCGCCGAGGGGGCACCGGTCGCCGTCCGCTGAGACAGCATCACACGAGACTGGAGGGAGAGGTGCACCATCAGTGGAGGGACTAGAGAGCGGAGAGCTGTGGGAGATGGCAGATGAGAGAAGAGAGGGAGGGAGGGAAGAAAGGGGGGAGGAAGGAAGGCAAGACGGAGGGAAGGGAGAGAGAGAGAGAGAGAGTGAAAAGGAGAGGGAGACAGAGAGCACAGCAGTATCAATGGTCATTTACATCACTGTTTCCAGAGAGCATGCTCATGTGCTATAATTATAGAATACATGCCTAATTACGTCTACCCTCTCTCGTTCCTTACGCTTTGTAATTTGTCGCTGTATTTGCTGACATTATTTTCACCAACCATCTGTGTTGGAATGGCCATGCTACGTGCCGGTGATTCATCGTCGTCTGAGCTTCTATCGTCCGCGGCATCACGCGGCATATTATTATCATCGTCACAGTCATTAGTATACCTAAATCTCTCTCCTTTTCGGCCGCCACTACCGTCGCTGAATTGCAGCCGTCTGCTGTCATGCTGAACGCGTTTCTGGCAGCATGACAGCACACACGACTTCTGGGGTATCGGCGGCAGGTCGCCCTTCCAGCGACCCGCTGTGGATGGACCGAGTCCTCCTCGAGTGGCCGACTTTGAAGCTGTCTGCCACGGATTCGACGGCACGGGACGAGCAGTGACGGCTGGAGCCGAGTGCCGTGGGTCGGTCTCGCTGGGCCGGGCGGTGGTCCCGGCAGTTGAACGCTGAGCCACCGGCCACCGGTCGGCTGGGGCGGCCTGGGGCACGCTCCGTGCGGTTGGAGACGGGACAGACCGCCACGGGACAGCACCAACGGCATGGGGTGAGCTTTTAGAGGGATGACCACCGTAAATATCCCAGGACTTTGTCTGGGAGGACCGCGACTTGCTGCGGGCGGGCGGCGCGGTGGCGAAATGCCGCTGGCCGACGACCGCGGCATCCCGAGAGTTGCTGACAAAAGACGCGTTTGCGGTGCTCACCACCCAGGCGGAGCGGTCGGGCTGCGCGCCGGGCTGTGGCGCGCAGGATCCCGGCGCTGTCCAGACGGAGGCGGCCCGCCGCGGCTGCGGTGCCCGCTGCTCCCCGGCGGGAGGTGCGGCCGGCTCCTCGGCGTAGTGCAGCGTCACTCCGTCTGCCTGCAGTGGCCAGAGCCGGCGCGCCCGCTCCCAGCCGGCCTCCACCGGGTCGGCCCCGTGCAGCGGCATCGCTCCGCCCAGCGATCCTGTGCCCCGCCGGCGGCACCGACCACGACTGGGTTCGCCAGCGAGCGACCGTAAAAACGGAGCGGGTTATCTCCCCCTGCCCTTTGTACAACTCTCTTCACCAGTTATCTGCCTCTCCGAGATGAGACGTGACAACATTCCATCGTCCAAAATGGTTAAACCGACGATACGAAGCTTCGAAGTTTGTTTTCTGATGCAGTAGGCATCTCCAACTTATTTCTAACGAGAACCAGTAAATTCGAAATCTTCCTATATCTCATGACCCTCCCCCCCCCCTAAAAAAACGTGTGGCCTACTGGTCAATGCGCCAGTCTCTTAGGCCTTTACTTAGTGGTAGCTGGTTCCAGTCTGGAGAGCAGCACCTAATTCAACTCGCGGATCTAGTTGGCAGCTTTCAAGTTGCCAGAAATGATCAGAACCATGAAGACTGGGCCACTTACAGCAGTACGTTTGCTACACTTCCCACTGAAGATTTTCACAAGTGAATTAGAGCATAGGCACAAAATTCACAACTCACAAGATTCTCTGTAGATTCACAAGCTCTTCTTCTTTCTTACCTATTCTTGCTGCGCCTGCACATAGACCCACATTCACCCAGCTAACTTCTGAAGAAAAATGAAAGAAGAAACACCAAATCAATTCATGAAAGGAATTCATATCATACCTTGATGATGATGACTTGGGGTTTAGGGTGCCCAGACACTGGGATGGTCATTGGAACCCAACATTCATACCTTGAAACATGCACTAACTTATTGCACATCCAGTGAGGCCTGCACAAATACGCATAGCTAACCTATTTGTGCAGGCATTCCTAGTAGAAAAATAAGAGTTACCTTGACTTTCTCAAGATTAGCATCTGTGTCCCGAATGATGCTGTTGAATTTCTTCTCCCAATCCATTTTTGATGCTGTGTGAGTCATCAATGATATGCAGTCTGAAAAAGAAATATACACTTGAAGCTTCAGCATGGTATGCTTAAATATTAACTTCCTGTAGTAAAAAATGTTACCATGGTCTCGTTTAATTGCGTCAAAAAGTCTGACTTTTGTTGGCTTCAGGAGCAGTAGAAACCTTATTACAAGGCATATCGTTATATTCTTCATGTAAAATCAAACGTTTCGTCTCTGAACAAAGACATCATCAGTGAAGTTACACACAATGATAAGTTGTCGGCGTATAAATTAGATATCGTTACCTAGGGGTCCTTGATGAAACATGAAACGTTTATGATATGCATGATTTTATGTGCGATACTGTGTTGCTCTTGTTATGTCGCCTGATTGCTTATTTTCTCATAATATGTACTGTTGTGTGTAACTTCACTGATGATGTCTTTGTTCAGAGACGAAATGTTTGATTTTACATGAAGAATATAACGATATGCCTTGTAATAAGGTTTCTACTGCTCCTGAAGCCAATAAAAAATGTTAATGTATGGTTCCACACACCAGCAAATAACGAAGTTTTATTGTACAAATATTCTAGAATCCTAAGCAACAAGATATGACTGTCCATTCAGAAAGCTTTAATTTCCTAGAAGGTTATAAAGGTTAACTAAAAATTGGATATCTTCAAGACAAACCTATTCCATCAATTACCTACCTATTTCCTGAAATGTAGGTACCAGGTACATTCTGTATTCACATGAGATCAATATCTATGAGAAACTAGAAAGTCAAATATAAGACATCAACATCAGGAAAAATAAAGTTGTCATAGGACAAGCCTAGCAACCTTGTTCGTTTATTCAGAAAAGTTGAGAAAACATTAATTGTCGTGCTTACGTCAACATAGAATAATTAATGGTAATTCTGGTGAAAATGCAGAAACTGATATCTTAAGAGAGTCCCGCAATCATGGATCTGCAGATCATGCATGTAATTTCCTGGATCGTGACCCATAGTGTGACCAGACTTTTAGCTTAATTAGCAGCACCAGCTACCAAGGATTGATAGAGTCCAGCCTCCAGGTCCCTTCATGCCCCCCTCAGTCTCCAATGCTTTCTCACTGGAAAATATTACCCAATTTTCTGACAGCATAACTGATCGTAATTGTGCTTGCTACTTTGCTCGTGTGTCACCTTCGCATGTGACTGTTGCACTCATTACCAATCTAAGCTAAGGTTAGACCATGCCCCGCGGTGGAAAGAGTGGTACAAACGCCAGGCGAGGCCGAAGTGGCAGTGCGGGCGGTGGTACACTTAGGGATGATGACAGTTCTGACAGTGTGCATAACTGTGTGTCATGTGCAAAGGTTGTGGGAGATGGGGCTATTGGCTGCGATAAGTGTGAGCACTGGGTGCATGGCACAGAAATGTGCTCAGGTCTCCCACAGAGAGTTATTGATGCAATTATGGAGTATGACGGCAGAGGGATTAGCTTTGTGTGTACTAAGTGTCGCATCAGACGTGAAAGTATATCTACGGGAAATGCCCAGCCACTCATGATTGAACTAATGGATCAGCTCTTCCAGCAACTGAGAGGCCTCTGTAGCACAGTTCATGGTCTGGTCGAACAGGTGAAGGCTCTATCCACCAGACCACCTCCTGAGCCTACCTCTGCACCTCCTCCGGACACTCGTCCCTTGGCTTCTCCTCCAACGAGTGATGACCAACGTTCCGCTATCCGTCGTGAGATCAAGGAGTTGAACGAGATCAACAAACGTCGCAACTCTATCATTGTAAAGGGGCTGACGGCAGACTCCCCTCGTGACCTAGCCCAAAAATTCTCTACCCTAGCTCAAGAAGTTCTGGGCACATCTGTTACTCTGAACGATGTAACCCCTATCCCTAACCACAGAAATATCTTCAGAGCTAAGATTTTGGATGATGATGCCCGGAAACAAATCCTGGACAAAGCCAAAACCTTAAGGAACTCTGCTTATGATGGTGTGTTCATTTCTCGTGATCTGACTTATGCCCAGCGAGCGGAGCAGTTTGCTCGTCGCCAGGCTCGTAGAGCTGAGACACATGGGCCGCCACCCCAGTCTACACAACATAGTCAACCACCAGCCTCCCAAACTGAAACTGACAGACCTGGGCCCCCCAGCCAGGGAAACGTGCAAACCCAGTAGATACTTCTGTAGCTCGCCAAGCCAAGTGCCTCCCAAACACCACTGCCTTGTTTTTTGTGCATACTAATGTCAATGGACTTGCCCCCAAGCTTAACTCACTGAAGATTCTTGCAAGTGAGAAAAGCTGGGACATAATGTGTGTATCTGAGACTCACCTACTTCCGCAAGTACTCAACTCTTTTGTGGATATTCCTGGGTACCATCTAATCCGGCATGATACATCGGGGAAGGTAGCCAAACATGGGGTGTGTGTATATATCAGAGAGAGCATTAAGGTAGATTCTATTAACACACCTGTGCCAAACATGATCTGCTTCCGCTTGGCTGATTTTGATGTTTACTGTGTTGCTGTGTACCGTCCTCCCAGTAACCCCCCTGAGATGGATGCTTCTCTGGTTGAGTTCATCAGTGGTTTTAGCATTGATAAGGAAGTAATTGTTGTTGGTGACTTTAACTTACCTTCCATCGATTGGTGTACTGATCCGCCCAGAGCCAGTAGCCTCACTGATCGTGACTTCTTGGATGCCTTCAATTCCCTGGGTCTTCTCCAGTGGGTAAAGGAACCCACATTCCCCCGGTCAGGGAATGTACTTGACTTAATCCTTACTTCAGAGACAGACAGAATAGGCTTTTCCTCTGTGTTACCTCCCTTACCAGGATGCGACCACTGCCCTACCGAATTTCAATATGTGTTTGCTGGCCTTCAGTCCAGTTCCTCTCCTCAGCCTAACATGGCAAGCCAACACCCTAAGAGATCCTGGCACAAAGGTAAATATGGAGTCATCTCTGAGCACCTGGCTTCCATTGACTGGGATTTAGAATTGTACCGCCTGAATGCTGATGCTTCCTTTAAGCACCTGACCTCCATCCTTCATCGTCTCATAGATGAACATGTCCCTTTAAAGCCACCACTTTCCCAAACAAGCAGCCCGAAGTGGAACAAAAGACCCCCATCCAGCCTTTTGAACCGTAGACATGCTGCTTGGACCAGGTACAAAACAGTCAGGGCTGAGCTTGGGCGAAAGTCACCTGGTGCAATAGCTGCCTATGCTTCCTTCCAGACAATTAACCGCAGTGTGAGAGGTTTTTCTGTTGCTACCCAAGCATCTTATGAGCTCAACCTGTTGAACCAAGCTAGAGATTGTCCCAAGTTACTACACTCCTATATCCGTGACAAGAAGACTGGTCGCCTAACTGTTGGCCCCATCAGGTTATGCTCTGGCGAACTTACTGACGATCCTAGAGACATGGCTGAAGCATTTGCTTCATCTTTCTCCTCGGTGTACACCAAGGAAGCCCTCAAACAACCCGCCCCCCACCAGACTTATAATGGTTCCATGGGCATGGTTACCTTTTCACAGAACCGAGTCCTGAAGGCCCTCCAGCTCCTGGATACCAATACATCCGCTGGCCCTGACAACCTACATCCTATTTTACTCAAGCGTTGTGCTACTTCTCTGGCCTATCCTCTTCTTACTGTCTTTATCCGAGCTTACCTTGAAGGCAACCTTCCCTCGAGCTGGAAATCCTCCCTTGTCATTCCCATTTTTAAGAAAGGCGAAAGATTTGATCCACTCAACTATCGTCCTATTAGCCTTACTTCAGTGTGTAGTAAAACATTTGAGCGCCTGCTTTGCGAAGACCTTACAAACTATCTCGAGTCTAACAATATCCT